GACCCCAATTAATTAACATAACCGTCAACGCTTCCCAAGTAATACTTTGTGGATAGTCCCTGTATAAAAATAAATTATTTATCAACCTATATTATCAAAAGATAAAGATTTTTTTGCATTTTGTTGGATTGTATTATTCATACTCTGAATAGCAATGCTAATTGTAGGTTTAGTTTAAATATAGCTAAAATACGATGGTCATCGGCTAAATGTTTGCTGTATGGCGGGATTCACACTCATTTACAAATCGCATAAAGTGCAATAACTCATCATGACTGTTTTGTTGTGTGACACCATATCCATCATCAATGTATCTAACACAATATTCTGCGTCGCAGTAAACCTGAAATTCATGAATCCTAAATTTAGCAGAAATAAAATTTAGCCCCTGACTCGGGTACAATAAGAAATGTGTCGTTCGTGATAGTGGCCACACGGCGATCACAATCATTTTCAGAGACCCATGTGGTATCATCTGTCCACGAAAGGTGTTTGTAATTTAAATTCGATGTCACTTTAACACGCGCGTATGTTATTTTTTAAGTTATCTTTTATTGTATCAGGGTAAATTATCGATTATTTAATGTGCCATAAACCTTAAGGTTAAACAAACATATAACTACATTCTCAAACTGTACTTTTCCCGGTGTAATGTTTCATCAATTATGGTGGCACGCCGATTAAGTGCTATACATATTTTAAATGACGTCATTGAAGCATGATTTGTGTCAATTGACGTTTTGAGTCTTCCTAAAAATGACTAATTTCGTATACTCATATACTGAAATTAAAACCTGTTAATAAGTCGGGATAAGCATCCTCTAATTTCACGAAGTCTTTTACCACCTTCACGGCTATAGAATTTATTTTTGTACATTAATTTTGTTCTCATCTAGTGGCAAATGGTTTGTCTTGACAGTCTTCTTACGATATTTTCTTACATGGTGGAGTGCAATTGAATTGATTCCCATTGCTAGTCAAGATGTAGAGGATATTACAATCTTAAGCTGTGGAGTGATCTCTATGCAGATACGGGTGAGTTGAACCTCATAACGATAAACAACTTGTTGCATTGATAAATAAGTTTTACATGATGCTCATTTGATCCAGAAGTGAGTGAATAAATACAAAAGTTTGTGTTAACCAGTGTTAACTTCATGGTTCACATCAAGAGAAAACATTACTTAGTAGTCGACGTATCAGAACACAGATAACAACGGATTGCTTTATAGCCAATTCAATACCGAGAAAATCAGAGTGAGAACAGGAGAAAACGTTCAACAAAGCAGTTATACGAAGATTGGCACTGTAAATATAATGTAGTGCAAACTGAACATATTGAAAATAATAAAATGGACACGGCACAACAAATTATGGAAACGCCCAAACAAATCAGAGAATTACAAGGAAGGTCCATGCTCAGAGACAATGTGCTGATAATGGATAAAGTGCATACTCGGGAACCTCTGCCTCTGTAAAGAACTGAACTAGGGAGTGATTTCTGGCCTGAATATCCGGCCAGCGTGGAACTTTCAAAGTCACATTCAGTAAACTGAATGACTTCAATACATTACCATGGGCACTCGCTCGCTAGACTGACACGTTCGTAACCCCCCCCCCCCACAACCCTCTAGTTCGATTCACTGGGCTATTATTCATAGATTAAAAGTCACACAGTAATAGAGGACATATAGTCTACGCCTCGTATAACATATGTTATTGTACATCTGCCACCATAACGCCATAATTAACAACGTGCCGTAATTTTCCAGTATTGCTCTGGATATTTGCATCCTACTATTTTAGGAAATGCAAAATCGAATTATAGAGCGATTACGCACGAGGAAGCGCCCCCAAATAATAAAAACAAACATGGCAAATCTGTTCTAAGACTTTGGATTTTGGCATAACCACGTCGGTCGATACTTCCGCTGTACTGACTTCGTGCATACTTTTCGGTATCCTCTTAATACTACACATTGTCGTATGTATGCTACGCGTTGCCTCATACGTTGCTCGGTGCGTTGCCTGATGAATTGCCTCGTGTAACGACAACGATGTAATGTACGAACATTCAACACAACTGAACGTTTTATGCATGGGCCATATATGAAGTATTTTTTTTGCGAGTTGTGACTGCTATGAGAAAATAAGTTCATCCTAATTACCAAAGTCCATTTGAATTTAGCCTTAGTTTCCCCTTTATATATATATAATATTATGCATGCATTGCCGCTTATTTCGTTTTTTTATTTCCATCATTTATCTTTAGTTGTTTTTTCCCCACTCTTGTCGGTTTGGTTGAGCAATAAAAAGATGTACTGCTTTTAACACTGCTTTTATTGCAAATGAACTTGACATTTGTTTTAAAAATGCATCGCAATTAACATTATGCCATATACGTTTTGACATTTCTGCTTACAACTCTTCCAAGGGGAGTTTGAATTATAACGATCTAAACCATACTTTAAGCCAATAAACTTTACTCTGTTACAGTAAACAATTGAATTTGTGAATATTTACTTTGCAAGCATGGCTTTTTAATTATTTCAAGGTTTGTTTTTTTGCTTTTCAGCTTTGAGTGAATAGTTGCAATATGCTGTTATCTTTTTCTCTTAAACATATATCAAAGACTACTTTTTTAAATGATGGTCATCGTCACGTTCGAATTTCCTGTAAACAAACATTGCATCTTACATGCGTTGTGTACATCGATAATGGGTCCCATAATCTTAAAATTTCCATCTTGGAATTCATGGGATAAACAGTAGGCTGGTAAATACTGATGTCCTATTCCCCTTGTTGGATCATTCCTATCCTATCTGTACAAGTGATAACATAAATACACGTAATGAAAGACATGTGTATGTCAACTTACACGCGTTATGTCAACATATTGCTAGGTATATCGCCCTCAACTGGGAAACGTACTGAATTATGTGACCCTTCGCTGGTCTGGCATCCTTTACGAATTGCAAGTATGACGCATGTAACTAGTAATCGCCATATTGGTCCATTTGGGTCGGTTTTCCGGTCGGAAGGCACGTGACTGAGTGACATAATTTGAAAATATTCCAAGTTCCGTTCTGCGTAAATGTGTCTGTAATACTACAATACAGCAATGTTCATACATACTTCCTGCTCTTAGATTTACACATTTGAGATGTTTTTGACATTCATCGCTGTTTCTGTGCAAATTTATAACAAAAGAAACAGTCTGACATAGAACAGGCAACGAGAATGTGATGGACCAATCAGATTGCCGGACTCGTTACTAGTTACCGGCCTCTTGTGGCTTGTACGCCATGACACTTGAGGCGGGAACCAGCCAATATATGATCCGTACTTCAGCATGTGTCAACGTTTCTCTACTACTGTAGAATAGTGTCTATGGTATTTATTGTATGTTCATGTAATATCAAGAGTAAGGATTGTGGGACATCACAGCGGATATAACCGTTAGTGGTATTAGTCTAAACCATACTCAGATTATTTCGCGTGTGTGCGTTTATTGAAATGTGCTCTCATCTCTCACCACTCTACTATGCAGAATATAATGTCATTGTTTAATAATCTATTTGACAAGTGGATATGAGTAAAACGAGTGACAATGTAACTGGTAATGTCACTATATATTAAACTTGTCTTTTACCTCAGTCTAAATTTAAATTTAAGTTCTGCCTGCTAACTGTACCTGGGGTCAATGGCAAGCAGGAATAAACGCATATGGACTTTGTACTCTACCCAGGGTCACACTGCAATATAATATCCTATCAACCATATCTGACACACTAATAAATGTGACAGAAAAGAATGTTAATGGCAACGATATATTCGCAAGATGTTGGGTTGTGTATCGCTGTACTTATGTTTTTTTTATTACCAAACGCTTCAATACAAAGGTGGAAAATGGATTTACATATGGGGTAATTCGTGGAATTGCAATAGAGAGGGTTCAGGCCGAAATACAATCTATAGTGTTTTCATGTTTCTACTGATATTTCTGTGGTATTCTGCTACTGTAACTAATGCGAGATTTGTTTCAAATTTAGTGTATTGAGTGCACTCAAGGGTTATTTGTTTTTTGCTGAAAACCCCCCTATATTTCAATGGCAGAGTTGAACCAGTTTCACTCCGACTGGGAAATCTGCAATGTTGCTTGAATGAGAGCTAATTAATTACATTTTACAGACCTGCATCTATTTTAATAGCCTATTTTACTGAGAATGTTTACATGGAAAGAGGCTATTCCATTTTACGCAGGAATAATTGGGAGTAGAATATGTGAGGGATTGTATCAACGAGTACTGAAAAGTAAATATCTATTCTTCTTTTGCATCGCTGAGCATTTCTGTTGTAGTATACTGGTTTGCGATGTTTTTTTTTACTGAAACGCCCCTTATAGTTGAATCCCGAGTTTGAAGGAGAATGTAACAGCGCACTACGTGATTCGTTTGAATACAATGGTGAAGAATTGGAATGATAAGGCGCCGTCCGATCTCGGTGGAAAGTTTCGAAGTCAGTCATACCATGGTCATACGTAGTTGAAATTTATGTTGAAGTTAAAAGTTCCTCCACAGAATTGGGCATTCGTAAACATGCCGTGCAACTGCGGAACTCCACTGACTGGATGACTTTCGTCGACATCGGTCGTCGCTGAACAGCACGCTACAACTTTGTTTGTGATGTTACTTGCTAGTCGTGGATTGAATGAATCTTGATTACTAGTTAAAATGTTGTTCATTTCGTTGGTAATCTTTATTTGGAACTGAGTAACGCCACAACGTCTCAAGCGGAATCCTCCTGGTACTTCGATGTTGATGGTTGCGCCTCCATGGCAATCGCTAAATTTACTGTGGGTAGATCTTCAGAGAACCCTTCAGTGTTTATAAAACTCAGTTTCCAGGTGGTCAACATACATAAAGTTCTCCCAATCATAGTATTCCATGTGATGTACACCTAATATGCCAAAAATGTTACTGAACTATTTGAACCGGATAAAAATAGCAGACTAAATGTTTTTTACAAAATAAAAATAGTTCGGTTGCCAATGGAAATAACATGTTCATTTGCATATCGACCGTGAAAATACCGAAAGCATTATAGCATGGATGATATGCAAATTAGTTTTAGTCAAAATACTGTAAAATATTATTATATTATTTTATATACAACAAAATCGCGTCTTAGAATTAAATTATAATTGTCAGTATGTGTGAGTGTGTTTATTTTTAGTTTATTCCACTTGCTATAAAAATTAGCAGTGTGCAACCAACACTGAATGTAAAAAAGGAAAACATCCGAAAGATATTCAAGTGGCAACGAATCTGCACTCAGACATTTGAGCAGTATTTTGTGAACGGCGATGAATAAAATCATAAAACGTTGTTGTTTTAAGGTCCATATGTTGAATATATTTTCCAGATTATACATCCCGACATGACCATGAATCATTCAAAAGCCAAACAAGATTCCAGTTTATATAAATGGGTTGTTGTCATTGGATGTATGTACATACAAGCTGTAATTGCGGGTAGCATCACTGCTTCAACCATGTTTCTAGTATTATTCGCAGAATATTTCCAAAAAAGTGTTGGCGAAACATTTGCAGTATCATCACTCCAGTTTTTGGTTCGTACTTTGACAGGTGAGACAATTATTTTGATTTGAATTTTGGATGTTTTCTACTATATGCCAATTATATATTGGCTTTGGTATAAGATTTTTGCATGTATCATATATTGTTCATAATTTAAGACAATCGTATATTCGCCAGCGCAGCTTGATGAAACCAGTTTATACTGGGCAATATAAACGGATTTCAATATGCATGATTCGTATCAGGAATAAAAGCACGTGTGCATGTGTTTCTTACAAATATATCTTCATCCACCTCTCAATCTGCATATAATATATATATATATATATGCAAATATATATTGCATTGCAAATTTAAACTATTAGAAAAAGGTCCAACACACTTTACTTTCTGTCTACTATCCATTTATTGTAGCCCCCTTTATTGGTGGTTTAACTAGGCGGTTTGGATGTCGTCCAATGGTAATAGCTGCAGGAATTATATCAACTATTGCGGTCATATTGACCTCCTTTGCAACCAGCTTGATGTGGGTATACATTACGTATGGCGTGATGTTAGGTATGAAACAGTATATGTATTTGTTAACAGAAAAATGTTTAAGAATGTTTATTTCTTTCTATCTTATAGGATATGGGGTGCCGTTTGTGCATTTATTTATATAGCGTTTTTTTATAGATCTAAGCTTGTTATATATAAACAGTTCTGTGATCTTTCATTATAATCAGATATACATATTCAAATAAGTGGTGTATGACTCACCAATTGAAAGCAATACATTTCCTTATTTCAAGCGTCCCGTGCTTTCATTAACATTATACACAACATGCTTCTGCTATATCTAAGGTTTGGCATTTTCGTTGATGTATGGTCCATCGATCGTGATCGTCGGACAGTACTTCACACGGCGACATGCATTGGCGAATGGGATGGTGTTCACTGGTGTTGGGATTGGAATGATGGCCCTACCACCTTTATATCAGATGTTAATTGAAACATATGGGTGGCGGTCGGCATTGGTTGTGATATCGGGTATTTACATGAATATCATTGTTTCTGGAATGCTGATGAAACCACTAAATTCAGATGACACAGTGGGTCAAGAAGCGGATTTCAATCGAGTACAAGATAACCAATCAACTCATAATGGAGACACATTTGAATCAACGGATATCACGGACGAGTGTAGAGTTACACAAGGTGACGATATGACATACAATGAAGTAAGATCAAACATTGAGCATAACAAAGTTGGCGAGGTAAAACATGCAGCAGTAAGATCCAGAAAATCACAGAGATGCTCAGTACTACGGGAAAACCTCAATATTACATTGTTGCGACATAATTCATGGTTGCAAGTAATGTGCGTTGCTGGTGTATTCCTAGGTTTTGGGTATATTATTGGATTGGTTCATTTTGTGCCAAAAGCTGTTTCTGAAAATATAGAAAAGCTCGACGCTGCATTCCTAATGACTATTATGGGAATCACAAGTTTAGTAGGAAGATGTTTGCACGGATGGTTTGTCGATTTAGGATACTTCTCTCCAGCGGTAGTGTTTGCAGTATCACTCTCCTCTGCTGGAGCGTGTCTTATGGGCATGCCATTATCAAATGGATCTTATGCAGTACTGGCCGCTGTGGCTGCTTGCTTTGGATTTAGCGTTGGTGTAGGTATGCCAATTTATGCTGTTACTCTGAAAGCTTGTGTAGGTGTTGAGCATCTATCAAATGCACTTGGCTGGTATATACTATTTAGTGGTATTGGATATATGCTTGGTGCACCTGTTGCAGGTATGTATGAGTTACATTGAAACAATGACATTTGAAAATGTGATCCTTACGTATTTAACCTGAGTTTAACCGGGTAAATCATATTCTAACGATATGTGCACGATAACACGATTGCATGTTGTTTCACTGTTGGTAAATCGTAATATTGAATAACAAAAGTGTATGCATAAGCATGATCGTTTTACTCTTTTTTGCTTTTAGGGTGGCTTTATGATCTAACGTCCAACTACAATGTGTCTTTCATAATTGCCAGCTCATCCATGATTATTTCGGGGTGCATTGTGTTTGTAAAGCTGGGATGTCAGAAATGGAAGTCAAAGAAAATTTATGAACAGGAAACGAAATGCCAAGATATTCCAGTTTCAGGAAACCAATGCGGAACAGAGATTATTCATAGTGCACGTGCATGAACAAAATGAACAATAAGGACAACAAGAACTACTTACTCACAAAGTCAAAAACATTATGTATTGTACCTTGAGTTTCAGGACTGCGAGGATCATGGGTTAAAGTCTGAGCAGAGCGTCGTTATTCAGAATGACCAAAGACTTCTAGCTAGTGTATATGTATATGACCCTTTTACAAATGATTTGACATGTCACTGTCACGAATTTCGTCAAAGCATACACTCAAAATGGGTTTTTGTAATTCTTTTAATTTTTGTAATTCATTCTGACATTGCTTCATGTATACCATAGCGTCCATATACATTTCTTTTACTGACTATGCAGTGTAGTGTACTTTTCAATTTCAATTTTTGGACATTCCCTATATGTTGAGTTTATTAATTCCACTATTCTACAATAGATGTATGTGCAGCCATCAACACATTTTGGAGAAAATATTTACATATCAGCAGAACTATTTGCTTTGGCCTCGTCTTGATATGTGTGTGGTCTGAAAGGACTTTTCAAGAATGATATGGTGTATCTTGCGCCGAATTTTCACCCACGAGAATGACCTTGGTCGACACTGGAGATCCAAAGTTTTTTCTTTTCATTCGCTTTCGATCTAGGTTTTCAAAGCTCTCAAAAACAAATGTCATGTAAACACAACCTAGTATTACATCTTAATTGCATATCAGCGACGTTTTTTTCAAAATATGGCGAATATCAGAATGTTAAGAATCTGCTGTTTTTTAGTTTTTATTATTGGATCTCTCCTTTAATGTTGCTTTGATTAGGTTATTTTGCAAATTCCAAGCCTATGGCTACATCTGTGATTCAGGAACTATAGACTGTAGGCCGAGTGAGTAGCAAGTGACACCGGAATGCGTTGTGTCGCAGAGAATAATATTATGAGACACATTGATCTCAACAAAACAAGGAGTGCACGCAAAATATAATTAAATTAAAAACAAAACTTAAAGGACCTACCTTCCAACCACCAAAGAAATTACCTAGTTAAAACTTTGTAACAACTAAGTTTGTACTCGTTGGTCTGCGCAATAGACAAAGTTGCAGCCATCTGGATACTTCCACCAGACCCATTAAAGATGAATTGGATGCCGTCCATGTAAGATTTAGCACCATCCCCAAAAGACACAAAAAAGAATTTGGAATTTGTTCTGGTTTTGTCTAATCCTTGTTATGTAAGCTAAGTAAGATAAGTCAATGATTACTCAGAAGCTTTTCTATGGAACTGTTGGTTATCAAGTAGAGAGTAGAGTATTTGAATGTCTTGTAGGGTTTCAGAATTGTACCATAAATAACTTCATTTGTAATGTAGTCAAATTAAGACGATATTGTGATTATGTGGCATAGTGACATGCAGCCAGTCTGTCGAATAGTGAATGGGTCAACCATATTCTGAACAGTCTGCTATGATACTGCCATGATGGTTCTTTAATGTTTTGTAGACACTGTGGAATATCAAATGTGAATATCACTGGTACATGACTGCAACATTATTTTGAATGGTGCGAAGCATACACAATATTGAGTGTGCTAGAAAGGTTCAGCTTCATTGATTAGTACGGTATAGGTGAACCGTCTGATAATGTGTCACGCGGATTGTGAGCAGTAACTGCATATGTTGTATTGGGCTGAAAATAATCAGTACTGTAGAGTGGGAAATAAAACTATGTATTGACATGATATATTGTTTCTGTTCGGTTAGCTTTGGTGATATTGGATGACAGCAAGTGAGCAGCAATGGTGATTGGACACTGTAACATTCTGACAAGTAGTTGTGCATCAGTGACTGTGTTATAGGTTGAAGCTGAATGATTTGCATGATTGAATTGGTGAGCCGGGAAGCATCGGGGGCTCATTATCAGATGGGTGATTGGGAGCAGTTGGCGGGAACACCAGGTGCTGCTAACTCTAATTTCAAATTGCAGTTGTGGAGCATTTTTCATGGTCCTCTCGATGCTGGCATCTTTTCAAATACGTACCTTTTACTGTTGAGTTGGCGAAAACGTCCAGTTCGACCACTATGTAAGCTTATGATCTGGTGAAGAAACTACGCCTATTTCCATGAACGGAGTTTTTGAATTGTGAAAAATATTTTTTCAAAAACAACAGAGAAACAAATTCAAAAGCATGATAAACATTAAATAAAAGTAATTAAAGCACAGCAAGGTTTCAACAGAACATTTGCTAGTAATCCCATGAAAACAGGTGAATTTGTATGACTACATGATCCCACAAAGAAGAAAAATACAACACCAAATCTAAAAGCAACATATATTGGTCCCTTTATTATTGTGAAAAAATTACCTGGGTCTATCAAGTACAATGCAACCATCGATAACAGTTAAGAAATATATACATATGAACCGTATGAAGCCATATTTGAGAGAGTATATCCATAGCAGGAGAAAATTCTGGACGCCCTATCACACAAGTAGACAAAAAAGGTCGGAGTTTACAAAAAAACAGTTTAGGCAGGGAAACAAAAGTTTCCCAGAAATAAAGATGAAATAAAATCCATAAGAAAATAAACTGTTACCTGCAAAATACAATGTAGGTATTGCACGTATTCGAAAGCGCTGCCCAAGAAAAGATGGTAACAAAGATAAAATAATTTATTGCCAACTGAAGTGAGAGGCCATAGTGTAATTTGCATAATCATCTACCGGAGCTGACAGCGAACACACAATCAGAGGAAGAAAGACACATCTCGGAGGCTTTTAAATATTTCAAAAAAAACAATAGAAAAAAACTGTAAACCGTTGAGAATTACTGCATGAGTGGGACTGACAGCCATTGTTGCTGACATGTTAGAAAGACGGAATTAATCGTGGTAGAACTGAGAGGAAAGCGAGAAAAAAACAAGCAGGATGAATGAAAAACAGAGGAGGTACGTGTAGCATCTATAAGAAGAAAATAATGCCTAAAATAAGAAAACAGTTATGTGGTAAAGCAACATCTCCAGGACATCTTCTCAAATCCGCAAGCCTACAAGAAATAAGCCACCAGAAAGTCGCGCCAAAGATGTAAGAAAGCTTTAAAAAGGCGTTGAATTTGTGCGATATGGCGGGATGTGCTGAGTTAAGCACCAACATAAGGTACAAGGTGATTGGGTCTGAGCGATTCTTCTAATTTCTGAATTTTCACCAGATGCACAGGCCATAAAAAACATGTCACGATATGCCGAAGAAAACTGCTATCAATTTCGTCTGCCGCATGACGATAAAAAGCACCATGTATTATTGTCAACAGTGTTATCATTGCCGCTATTTTTTGTATTCCGAGAAGCTCTTGTAATTGTTATTACTGTTTTATTGTATTTGAGAAAATTCATGTGTCATCATGTAATTCATCGTCATATCCCATCATTTATCATATCCAATGCCATCAATACTCGACCAAGTTCCTGTGTGATCAGCCGAGCTAATGATTGTTAGATGTTCAATCCTGTATTGGTTGAAGGGCTCTTGTGGTCAATTTACCACTCTCCAAATTGTATTCTAACATATTCCTCGTGATTTGCAAAGTATAAAAAATTTAAGTAGTAGACAATAATAATAATAATTTATTTATTTGATATTTATCTTGGCAGAAAAAAAAAACAAATCTTATCAGATCAAAACATGAGTTACATCAATATTTTGTCTAGAAACATCGCCCTCAACGGGGAACAATACACTGTATGAACTTTATAGGTATGGACAAAAAGAACATTAAAGAAATTCTTAAATATGAATGGAGATGTGTTTGCAGAGATTGCCGGTCATATGGGCCACACAAAGGTAATACAACATAAAATTAGATTGATTGGCGACCCTGACCCAATTAGTTGTCGACTATACAAAGTTACTCCTCAAAAAAGGTCGGAAATTGAGAAACAAATTGATGATATGTTATGTGAAGATATAATTTCCCCTTCTGTGTCAGAATGGAGTTTTCCAGTCGTCTTGGTTACGAAACCTGGAGGTGCTTACGGATTCTGTGTCGATTATAGGAAATTAAATTACGAAATAAGAACCAAATCCGTTACCTCTAATTGTAGATTGTTTTGACTCTTTAGGGATAGCCAAACCATAATATTTGTCGACGCTTGATTTAAAAATCTGATATTTCCAATTAGACTTACACACACACAGACAGTCGTGCATTAACGACCCATGCTGGGAATTATCAATTTAACCGATGTCCAATGGGAGTCGCTGGGAGTGGACATTCATTCCAACAGCTCATGAATATTGTGCTTAGGGGATTAAATTAGAAGAGCTGTTTGGTTTATTTAGATGCGAGCGGCTAATTTAAAACTGAAGTTAGCAAAGTGTAAAATCGACTGTAAGGAAGTAAAGTATTTGGACCATTTAATAAGTAATGACGATAAATGTGCAGCTATAAGAGATTTCCCCATTCCACATGACGTAAGAAGTTTGAGAGGGTTCTTAGGTATTTGTAATTATTATAAAAAGTTAGTGTTCCAATATGCGAAAATAGCGAGGCCTTTGAACTTAATGACAATTAAAAATGTAACGTTTGAATGGACAGGAGAATGTCAATGAGCATTTGAACAGCTGAAAGAGGCGCTAACAAATCCACCAATATTAGCATACCCCGATTTCGAGAAACCATTTATATTAAGCAAGCTATCGGGTTTATTTTATATCAATTACAAGACGGATGAGAGAGAGTTATTGCATATGGCGGGCGGGCGTTAACCCCAACAGAGCGCAATCATTCTATAACACAATTAGAGGCATTCGCTATTATAGTGGTAGGAATTATTTTGACCTATATTTAAGGAACGCAAAGTTCAAGGTAATAACGGACCATTCAAGTTGAAAGTATACATTCGGGTTAGTAAGGCCCAAATGCCGAATCGGAAGGTGGGTCATTACAACAGTATGATTTTGAAGTCGTACATAGGCCCAGTAAGATTCACGAAAACGCCGATGCATTGTCTAGACGTACCTATGAAGGGACCCAAATGCCTACAGAATTAGAGGAGG